ATATATAATATATATAATATGCCCAATTTCGGAAACCCTGGACACGAACACGTTTTCATCTCTTGGGGGCACATCTTTTACTTCCGCCGTCAAGCCAAACCTAAGGGCCGACAAACATCAGTCCGCCAAGGGTCTGGGAATTCCGACGGGCGCCTCGAGCTCGACCATGCTCTGCCTGAGCGCCTTCGGGTTGCTACCCTGCAGGTATTCCATCAGCGCCTGCCGTCGCCCTCTACGCCAGGAACGCGAGTAGATGACGGCGGGAGAAGGAGGAGGAGCGAACGTCTCCTTGGGGAGGAGAAGGAGGAGGAGGAGGGAGAGGAGGAGCAGGAGGGAGGAGGAGGAAGAGAAGGAGGAGGAGGAGGAGGACCAGTGGAAACCCAAGAGTCATCAACGATGTAGGAATAAGCCCTCCCTCCAAGCTCCCTCTTCATAGGCCCCTACAACGGTTCATTTCCATTGAGGCAACTGCCTCGTTGGAAGACATCCGCTTGAAGACCCTGAAGAATGCCAAAACAATGTTCTCGGGATTCCAACGCCACGGATCAACCTGACTGTTGCGTGTTGACGATCTTGAACCGCGCCAGAAAACCACTCCTGAGACTTCAATACAGCGAATCAGCGTAACTGTTGCTCCGTCATAATCCAGAATCCTTCCAACAATACCTTGTTTGGTATGCTGATCATGGGACGCCGTGTAACTCATGCAAATTCAAAAACGAATGTGCCCGGCGCGAAGGCGAGAGCCGCATTTTGAAAAGGAGCCGCCCTCAATCCGTCAAGCCCCTGCACATTTTGAAAACGAATGTGCGCGGCGCTAAGGCGGGAGCCACATTTTGAAAACGGCCTGCCCTCAATTCGTGAAGCTCTTGCAAATTTAAAAACGAATGTGCGCAGCGCTGAAGCGATAATCACATTTTGAAAAGGAATCGCCCTTAATCCGTGAAGCTTTTGTACATCTTAAAAACGGCTGTGCGCGGCGCTAAGGCGAGAGCCACATTTTGAAAAGGAGCCGCCCTCAATTAGTGAACATCTTGCAGTCTTTGAAACGAATGTGCGCGGCGCTAAGGCGAGATCCAGATTTTGAAATCGAACCGCCCTCCATGTGTGCAACTGTTGTCATGTTTGAAGCTTCAGGGTCTCAAATGGTGAGGAAGTCTCAAGCGAAACGCCCAGCCCGCCCGAAAAACTGGCTTCGGGGGGCGACGGGGAGAAACTATCTATAAGGAAAAGGAATGGAGGAGGGGAAGGAGGAGGAGGCGGAGGCGGAGGAGGAGGAGGAGAAGGAGGAGGATGAGCAGGACGAGCAGGAGGAGGAACAGGAGCAGGAGCAGGAGCAGGAGCAGGAGGAGGAGGAGGAGGAGGAGGAGGAGTAGGATCCGAGGCTAAGGCCTAAGATTGTAAGTCTCCGCCGCCTGGGGAGACGATGTTCGATACGGTTGAATTCGGGCTTCGGACAAGAGGGCCAGGGCACCGAGAATGCCTGGACCTGCCCTCATCTGGAAGGTCCAGGAGGAGTGAGAAGAGGTGGGATGCCGAGGTCGTTGGAGGCCGATGAAGATACGGTGTGTGTAGGGGGTGATGACAATGACCACTAGTCCACCAGACGCAGTGCCTTGGACATGCGCTGGGCAGGCCGTGAGGGTCAGACGCCAGGCGGCCGAAGGGCAATGAGCTCAGCGCTCAGATCGCGGCGGAGCAGCTCTCGCTGCCGCAGGCACCGAGGCAGGTGCAGAATCCGGCCAAACCTCTGTGCGAAAATGGATGCATCAAAGGCGCTTGTGGCGACCTCCCGATCACGCCTCGGCATCAACGTGGAGGCGGGTTGCTGCCTCGCCGCGCCCTGCCGCTGGCGACGCCACGGCTGCCGCTGGAGTCGCCTCCACGTCCGAGAGCTTCCAGGAGGCCGACGCTGAGGGTCCGAAGCTCCGGGCGGCTCGCGCGTGCCGCGGTCGTCCCCGTGCTCGGCCTCCAGCTCGGTCCTCTGAGAATGCGCGGCGGGTGCAGTCGACTCGTACCAGCCGCCAGCGCCGCTGGATGACCAGCGCAGCGCGGGCAACCTCGGCCATAAGGATCCCCACGGCTCCGACACAGTCCCCATTGCTCATGTCATTCGCACGACTGTCAGCCTCCAGGGCGTCGGCCTGGGACTCAGTGCGGATCGCCCGCACTTCAAAGGCCCTGCGGCACGCCGCAAGCCTCCCCCTCCTGCCGCTCGGCGGCATTCTCGTCGCCCCTCTCTCGGTGCCTCGAAGTCTGGCCTCGGCCTCCCGCGCGCGCTCGCCGCAACGCACACCTTCTGCTTGCAGTCGCCGCTGGCGGTGCAGCCGATGCGAATCACGTTCCCGCCCGCGCAGCCCCCGCTTGCCGTCGTCGTCGTGACCGCGCGCAGCAGGGCTGCTGTGGGCTAGCACCGCCGAGCCGCCGGTGAAGTGCCTCCTCGTGGCTGCCGGCCCGGCCGCCCGAGACGTCCAGCCCGTGCTCGCCGTAGGCGCGCCGCAGCGGGCAGCTCTCGGCGGCCGTTGCCGGAGACGGCGCAGCCGACGTCGAATCGCCGCCCACGCCGAGCCGCCGCCGCCGACCGCGGAGACGCCGCCCTCTCCGCCGTCCTTCGCGAGATCGTCCGTGGCGATCTCGCCCTGCTCCACCGCGCCGCCAGTCGCGCCCAGCGCCTGCAGCAGCTGGGCCGTCCCCACGTCCAGGACTTGGAGGCCTGCGCCAAAGCTTGCCGACGAGCCCCGCGCGGCTCGGCCTCCCGCGTGGTCCCCGAACGAGGACGGCCGCACCTCCAGCAGGACGGCGGGGGTGTGCGGCAGAGCGGCGGGCGCGCCGCTCGTGCCGCAGGGCTCTGTGCCGCTGTGTCTTGGCACGTCAAACGCCTGGCACGCGTCCTGGCCTTCCTCGGAGGCGTCCTCGCCCACAAGGCAGGGCAAGGCAGGCCAACGCACGGCAGAGGTCAGTGGGTGGAGTAAGGCAAGTCCTGTACGCCGTGAAACGAGAGAGACTGCGTCCACACGGTGTTCGCCTTCGTCACAGACTGCGCCAGCACCTGCCAGGTCTGAGGCAGTGTCGGGATCACTATCGGGAGCCAGCGCTTAGCGTGTGGCTGCCGCGGCCCCGGCGACACGGTGGCGACACGCCATGCCCTGCGAGTGGATAGCGTGTCGCTCCGCTCTGCAAAGGTGGGAGGCTCGGAAAGGCTCTCGACCTTGGCACTGGGTGGCTGGGAAGAGGATGGCATGTCGCGCCGAAACGCGGTGGGCAACCGGCGGAGCGACGCGCTATGCCAAAGTTCCCGACCGTGCCAGGTCTGAGGCAGCGTCGGGGTCGCTTTCGCGAGCCAGGTGCTCGTGGCAGGCTGCATGCGCTGTGTGCAGCAACGGCGACAGCCTTGGCGCCCTGATCCTCCGCGAGCGCAGTCGCTGCGCTCGGCTTGTCTGGGAGGGGGGGGGACGCGCGGGAGCGTAACCGTGTATGCGACGACGCCGCTGTCGTGGCCCGGATTCCGAACGCCGACAATGACGCAGTACTTTGGGAAAGCGGCGAATCGCTGGCAGCATGGTCGGGGTGAAGACAGGCGGGATGCGTGGGAGGCTCTCTGAAACTCCAGAAGCACGCTTTGCCATGCGCGCGATCGGCTTCGTGAGCCCTGCTCCGCTCAGACTCCATGATTTGTTGCCTCGAGGCTACTGCTGATGCTGATATTTTCTGCATGGGTTCCCTGATTGGCTCGTCGGCCTTCATCTGATCATCGGGGGCTCCCTGCATGCTGTGGAGCTGTCTTGCAACGAGTGCGAGCCGAAGAGATGCCGCGGCTCGGCCTGATTTGCCCAGGACAGAAGCTTGAAGTGTTCGACCAGGAACAGGCAGTGTACAATCGACCACTGGGTGCTAGCAAACGCTTCTCTGCTTTCGTCTGCGCCCCCTCGGGCCACTGTTTGTCAACATGCGTCATGCTCGCTCCTCCAGCAAGGCACATGGTCGTGGAGACTGCGACCTTGCATCGACCACTCGTAATGCTGCGCTGTCTCTTCCTTCTCCACATGCATGTGCTTACTCGTCTCAACTGTCATGCCCTCCCTCCCAGACCCTGTGAAGACGCAGAGGATACTCCGGGTGGCGTTTGCACCTCGGCGTCGAAGGGATGACGCTCGCTACTGCAAAACATGTGGCGCATACTGCCCCTCAGCGGCGAACCCTGTGCTCGGATAGGCGACGCAAATATACTGGGCTCCAAGGGCGCCGTCTCTTTCTCTTCCTCTCGCTCTCTCGCGCCCCCCCTCCGGCACAGAAGTTCGCGCACAGACCCCACCCCCCACAGGGCGACGACCACCCTCGCGAGAAGCAAGGGTGGCCTCCGCCCCCCCCCCCGCACAGACAACCCCACTCAAACATGCGACGTCCTGATTTGTTCAGGACACCGTCCGCGGACATCAAGAACCTTTCCCCAAGACCGGCTTTTCGTCTCGAGTCGTTTATGACGGTCCCGAAGCCCGGCATTTGCCCCCCGAAGCCGAAAAAGGATCTTAATTTTTACGACGCGATCGTGTCTGGGCACAAAACACCTGGCACGCCAAGAGAGCAGCCGGAGTGCGCCAGCCGGCTGTCTTGGAAGGCCCGCCACGAGGTCTACAAGAAACCTCCCACAGGAAACCCAACCCTGAGACCCTAGGACGTCCATCAATTATGTGGTGTGGGAACGTCATGCTTTCCATAAAAAAACCGTCGAAACCCAAGAAACCCAGGGCACCCTGGAGGCAAACAGGGTGTTTCTTGGCATGGGTTTCAACTGGAACTGTTCCAGGGAGCTCGCCGGCGCGCCAGGGTCGGTTGGCACTCCCAACTTCGGGGGGCCCTGGTCCTCCTCTCTCGGCGCCAGATCCGCTTTAATTGGCCCCCTGCCAGCGCACCACACGAGGGCATCGTTGGACGCGATGCCGTGCGCCTCCAGGTACTGGTGAAGGTAGTCCCACGATGCTGTCGCCGCAAGTGGGTTGCCCTCAGGAATCCACGGGCCCACCTTGCAAGGGCGATGTTCGTGCTGCGAAGCCTGGGATTCAAAAGCCGTGCAGGATGGCCTTCGCCAGCGGAACGGGGTAGTCGAAACATTCCACTCTTCCTAGGAAAACTCAGAATCTGCAGAGGAACAAAGAAACATTAGCATAAAGTTTAAACGGTCCGCGCGGATTTCGTGGATCTGCGCTGGACCCCCGCGGCGCTGGAGGCGCCGACAAGGGGGGCCGAATGCCGATCCAAGAAATCCGCGCGGTTATCCGAACTCTTATATACTGTATTTTTCTTCCTCGAACCTCGGTGCCCGTGACTTGCCAGCCGCCCGCTCTCAGAGCACAGCGCTGGTCAGTTTTCCAGGAGGTGAGGTTCCAGATATCCGAAAACGCGCACGGGATCCCCCTAGGCCCGAAAGAAGCCCACCAGCGTACCCAAACCTCGTGCTTGAAATGTCTGTGTCCTGGGAGGTAACATCAAATCAAGAACGTGCCTTCGAGGTTCTCATGCTTGTAAAGTAAGCGCTGGATCCGCGCTCCCACGACCCCGTGTGAAATAAACAACGGATCCGCGCTCCCGAGGCCACGCTCAGTTGGAAAAAAACGATGGATCCTCGATCACGAGGCCACGATCTCAGGAAGAGAAACACGGATCCGCGCTGACGAAGCTACGAATCCTGGCGACATATGATGTATCCGCGCTCCCGAAGCCACGATCCCATAACAAAAACGGATCCGCGCTCACGGGGCTACGATCCTGGCAACACATGATGGATCCGCGCTTCCGATGCCACGGTCCCTTGCAACGAAAAGTGGATCCTCGCTTTCGAGGCCAAACCGTTGTAAAACACAGTGAGTCCGCTCTGTGAACTCCATCCACCCAGCCAGCCTTCCAACCCGCCGGCCGCCGGCAAACCTGATAACTAGCCCATCACACAACCAGCTGGCTCACCTGCCAACTGTCCGTCTTAGTCTGCCAGCCAACCTGCCGAGTAGCCAGCCTTCAAACCAGCCAGCCAACAAACCCAATCGACCCATACACGCAGGCAATCAGCGGGGGGAGCCGGCGGCAGAGGGCGAAGGCCTTCAGGATAAGAGGTGGCAGCTCCTGGGGCTGGAGCGCATTCTCATCTGTATCCTCGTCGTCGTCGTCCTCATCCTCTGCTCTTCCTCTGTCACGTTCTTCCCACTGTGTGATATCGTATCTTCCTGACTATCGGGCACACTCCTTCGCTCTGGCACCTATCGCTCTCCCTGCTGTTAGAGTTGTATTGGGTCGGGGGGTGCGACAATGCCCGCGAGGCCGCCCCAAACCAAGAGATCGTAGTTTCGTGTCTATGTCCCGCGCGTGCGAAGCTCCCAATCATCCAGCGGTCCGATTATTCGAGATACTGGGCCTCTCGACGGTTTACTGGCACAACGCCAACCTGCATTTATGCATGTTGAACATGTAACGGAAAGACCAACTAAGATGTAAATGATGATGACCTCGGTGATGCTTGGTTCCTTCAGTGAGGCGTACTGGGTAAGGACCCCTTAGTAAAGAACCCCCAGGGGGCGGCGAGGTCCCGAGGTGGTCCGCGTGGGACCCACTTCCGCTGGGCCTCCCAGGAGCCCACGAAAGTGGCGATAGTTGCGCAGAACCCATAGGCTTATCTTAAGGAAACCTTCATGAAAGAGTTCTTAGAATCCTTTTGTACGGGTGCCTGTAGTAAGGTTTCCCCCAGTAAGGGCCCCTGAAGTAAGCAGTCCTGAATATTGATCCCTTCAACAAACGATTTCTTGGTCAAATTTCTTGTAGTACGGGTTCCTTCATAAGAACACCTTCGCCCGGTTTTCCTGAATCAATATGCCTCTGTTCAGGGATCCGGAGTCCATGAGTGAAGAGCTCTTAATCATGCCGATTTCTTTCTGGAGATTCCTCTTGTAGCGGACTCCTTCGTGAAGATCACTTGAGTCTAAGATCCTGAACAATGATCCCTCTAGTACGGAATACCGAATAAAATGGCCCCTTTCGTAATAACCTTCTACCAGGGATGCCGTTTAAGGAGCAAGCCTTTTTGACATGAGTCCTTAGCAAAGATGCCTCGAATAAGGATTCCCTCAGTAAGGGACCCTGTAGTAATCAATCCTTAGTATGGACCCATGTGCTACGAAATCCTTTATCAGGAAACTTTGCATACGCACTTCTTGTCGAGGTTGTATGTATCACTGACGCTTTAACAATACTATAGTTCGAATAATTTCGTTTTTTATAGCAAAAGCAAAATAACTATAACAATTAAGGATCCTGATCAGTACTTCCTTGATCAAGGTATCCCATAATATATACTTTACATTAAGGTCTTCCACCTGGGATCCTTCATACATATTCTTTTTCGTGAGGGCTCCAGAATAATGGGCAGCTGAATACTAATTACTTAATACTGATGCCCTCGTCACGGAGTTACTGTAAAAAAGGATCCCTTCGCTGAGGATTCCGTTGTAATGATACCTGTAACACGGATTCTGTCAGTGAGGATGCCTGTAACACAGATTTCCCACTGAGGGCTCCTTCAGTATGGATTTCCCAGAGAGGATGCCTTCTGTAAGAAGGACCATATCGAGGATTCCTATTCTAAGGGATCCTTCGCACGGGTACCTTGAGTAATCATTCGTCAATCAAGACCGCTTCAATTAGGAGTTCTTGTTGAGCATCCTTTCCCTGAGGGTTTCTTAACCCAAAGGGATCGTATTCAAAAGGGATGCACTAAGTACTGAGTCCTTGGTAAGGATGCCTTGGCACACGTGTCCGTTTTCTTATTAAGGGTGCTTGTAACACGGGCCCTTCGGATGGACACCATTGCTGCAGATTTCATTGCCAGGCAACCTTTGATACAAAAATGATGGGTCATTTATCATTCAATAAAGAATCTTCCGTGGCGACTTTATTGATGCGGATTGCTTGGTACGGAGGCCTTCCGCGAGGGATCGTTTGTAAGGGCCCGTTCAGTTGGGAACCCTGAGCAAACAACTGAGTAAAGGGCTCCTCAGTAAGGGGCCCTTCAATAAAAAGGGTTCCTTAGTAAGGATCTCTCTCAAAGGGTCATGACAAATGGTGCCCTTGGTAGGGATTTCTTGGTAAGGATGCCTTGTCTGAAGGGTTCCTTAATACGAGTGCCTTTGGTGAGAAATCCTTTGTAAGGATACCTTTGCTAAACATTCCTCAGTGAGGGTGCCATCAGTATGGATTCTTTCGGTTAGGTTGCCTTCTTGTTGTTTCCCTTAGCACGGATTCCTTTGTAAGGGTACCTTCTTGTAAGCTGTCTTAATTCGACTCCCTTACTACAAATTCCTTTGAATAAGGATGCCTGCAATGAGAGATCTTTTGGAAGGGTGCCATTAGGAAGCGTCCCTTAATAATGATTCTTTTGCCAAGGGACTCCTGTAGCCAGGAGCCCACAAAAAGGGAAGGAGGAGGAGGAATGATAAGGAAGGCGGGACCGCGGGAAACTTCCCAGGAAAACAAAGCCCCCTAACTCAACTGGACATTTTTTGTTTTGTTTTAAGTTTCTCGTTTTGTGTTTCGCGCGTTTCATTATTTTTGTGTGTGCTTGCTTTCTGTTGTTGTGATTGCACCCCCGAGTTTTGCTTTCTGTTGTTGTGTTTGCACCGCCAAGTTTGTTTTTTTGGTTTGTTGGGTGTGCTTTTGTTTGTTTGCTTCGGGTTCTCATCTGCTTGGCTGTATATATATATATGATATATATATATATATACAGTGTCCCGGCAACGAGCGTCGCAGCAAAGGCCATGGGAGGCTTCCGGATACACCTAGTTACACCCAGTTACACCCAGTTACACCTGGTTACACCTAGTTACACCTAGTTACACCTAGTTACACCTAGTTACGCCCAATTACACCTAGTTACACCTAGTTACACCTAGTTACACCTAGTTACGCCCAGTTACACCTAGTTACACCTAGTTACACCTAGTTACCCTCAGTTTCCCTCAGCTACCCGAGTTAAGGCATGACGCAATCAGTCTGAATCGGAGTGCAGGCATTCGAACCTGGAACCTCGGTCCTCGATCCGCGCCTCGGTCATCGATCCTATCCTCGGTCCTCGATCCTGGTTACATTTTTCAAGACAACCTCGCCGACACATCGGCGATACATCGGCGATGCATCGCCGATGCATCGGCGACATCGGCGATGCATCGACGACGCCAGCGCGGAGAAAATCGAGCTCCACATCGGGCCGCATCGCCGATGCGGCGCGATCCTCCAACCCCATCTGCTTGGACCCAGGGGGGCCAGGAAGAGGGGGTGGTGCGCACTGGGGCCAAAAGCATGGGGCGCGGACGAGCGGGGGCCTTGGAGCGTGTTGAACAAAGAAGCAGAAGAAGAACAAAAAGGAAAGTAATAATAATAATAATACGAATACTAAAAATAAGAATAATACTACGAAGAAGAAGAATAATGTCAATACTAATGATAAGAGTGATAAGGATGATACGAATTATACGAAACATATTATTATATTCATGATCTCATGATCATAGACATCACAACTACTGATAATACTTATAAAGGAATACATATGATACGAATAGGAATGCGAATACCAATGCGAGTACACATGCGAATGCGACGAGCAATCATGAGAACACGAAAACGATACCACATACAACATAACAATAAACAATGGTAACCATGAGTGTTATAACGAAGAGGGCGAAGAATACGAATCAGAAAATAATAAGAAGGTAAATGTATGGGAAATAATACTAAGAATAATAAGAGGAGGAAGAGGAATAAGACGAAAACGAAAAAGAAGAAGAGGAAGAGGAATAATAATAATAAAAAAAGAAGAAGTCACAGTCCTGACCCCCTGTCGGGCGCCTGGTGTTTTCAGGACGCCACACCCGGTCTCCGGCGGCCTCTCACGGGACGATCCGGGCACACCTGGGGGGCCGCTCCTGGCGAGGCGCGGCTGCGGCTGAGCATCCGGAGGCTGGCAAAACCCCAAGGAAC